GGTTGGTCTGAGGCCGCAGGGAGGCCAAGTCCTGTGGTGATCTGGGCCTTGTGTAATAGAGATCGGAACATCTGCGGCCGGAACAAACCGACAAAGGAGGGTTGGTCAGGTTCTAAGCCCTCATCCTCAGACAAGTCATTATCTATGACGGCCTGGTCCTCCTCCCCTGACAGTGATCCCTGGCTGTCCCTGGACGGAGAAGCTGCCCTAGTAGGAGCCTGCGAAGTGGCCTGCAAGGGTTGAGAGCTGACTGAAGAAGCCCGATGGCTCAAGTACTCAGAAACTTTAGAAGATGCTCTCTCCTGTAACCCCTGGGCAATACCCTGTCGTATAGAATTAGCGATTAACTGAGCTAAGGCAGGGGTAACATCCAGCTTCTGACTTTGAGAAGCCTGTAGCTCAGGATTTCCGGTTTCAGTAGAAACCGCTTTTGGAGTGTGAGACACTTGGGCCGGAGAAACTACAGAAGTCTCAGTCGGAAAAACCGTGGCTGAGTCAGGTACCCAGGAATCTTCCGTAACAGAGATATCTGGAGAGAGAGGGGGTATTGGGTCGGGCTGTGGTAAAGCCTCATGCCTGGAAGAAACCTGAAGGGACTCTGAATTCGAAGAATCCTCTGGAAGCCCTTTAGAGGAGGAGGCTGCCTTATTACAAGCTTTTTCCATGGCTTTGTGTCTCCTCCGTTCGTCTCTGGACATAGGCTGCCCTTGAGAAATAGTAGCTCTAGATTTTTTAGATTGAGAGCCAGAGGAAGATTCCCCTTCAGGGATTCGCTGTGGGTGAGGGCGTTTCCCCTTCTTGCCTTTAGTAGAAACCCTAATATCAGCCATGAAGAAGGCAGAATAAAATGGCCGCCGGGACAAGGCAAATAGCTCAAGGTAGAGACACACAAAATGGAGGCTGAAATAGCCAAGGGCTCCCAAATGGCCTGTCACTCTCAGTATGGCCTGTACTCACTGCGCCCAAACGAGGCTCAAAGTTCAGGGCAATATAAAGGAAGGTGCTAGCCAGCCGGTCGTAGCACGTTAAAACAGCGCCAAGGCCGCCCCCACGCCTATCCAACTGAGCCGTTTTCTGTCTTCAGAGGCTCGCGCTGTCGTCGCTATCCCTGAGAGCCTCGCTCCGCTTCCCAGAGGCTCCTGATGAAGGCGGTGGGCAAACCGAGTGCTAGCCAGCCGGCAAAGCACTGGAATAGCGCGGAAATGCGTCGCGCTAGCAAGCAAGCCGCCCGGCGCTCGAATGCAGCAATTAGCGCTCCGTCGGCTGCAGGGCAGAATGGCCGACGCGACGGAGCGAACTCGTGCGCGCGGCAGGTGGATCGCCAGCCGGCAATATCCACCGAGCGAGGAGGCAGCGGAGCTAAGCAGCTGCAACGCTGAGAGATATTCAGACTCGCTTGTTTTTCTGCCTTCTGACGAATTTCGCCCTTTTTTTTTTTTTTTTTTTTGAATAAGACTGACAGAAGTCTCCCTAAACACGACCGGTCCTGACTCGACCGAGTCGAAAAACTGTCAGTCAGCAGGCAGGAGGAGGGACTTCCTTCTTTCAAGTTAACCCGGTCCAATAGCAACTCTACCAAGTCACCACCCCATCCTGACTGCCGTGCCCGACTGGAGGAGAATCTAACAACTATTAAAGGACACTGCGAGGTCCGCTTGTTGCAAATTCAGAAAGCCTGTATTTTCTGAGTGTCTCCAGTTAAGAGGAATTCTCAAAGCTCAAAATATTTTACACCAGCATTGAAAGAATCTGAAGATAGCTGTGAACCGTGTCAAAGTGTTCAGTGAAAAGACCTTGATTCTTCACTTCACTCGTACCCTGCTTGTAATGCTGCTGAATTTTGAGAGCTGCAGCACTTGGGATATTTTTAATTTTCAGTGGCTAGCAAATTTAACCCTGCCAACATGATCCATATTGTCCAGGCCTGTTCCCATAGAAACAGCAGCATTTTCTTGGGCTGATCAGAATATTGTTTCCATCATCCTTACACACTTGGAACAGTTTTTTTTATCACTATTAAATGTGGAACAAGTGCAATTTTGCAATGGGTGTGCTGAATAATAATAACTATTATCATTGTACATGTATACACAGTATACCCATACAACAAAATTCACTTAACACGCAAAGACCAGGTCCAACACACTTAATCCCCAAACACACCCACCCACCCACCACAAATTACCCATCCCTAAACCACTCAAACATTCACACAACAGACCAAGTAGTGCTGTCCAACAGCTCACTGATGGTGGCCCTTTAGTTCATTGTTGAATGCAATTATAGCTCTGGGATAAAAACTATTCAGAAGACGTGTGGTCCGAGTTTTAATTGTTCTGTATCTTCTGCCAGAAGGCAACAATACAAGCCTTGCTGAACAACACAACCAGGCTTACCAATACGCATTGTAGGAGAGCATTTTTTTCCCCTGCATCCTGGGTAAACAAGTTCCATTAAACGCTGCTTAATGATGGATGCTTAAAATCAAACCTCGAAGAACAGGTTAAGTATGAAGGAAGAAAACAAGCAATTCTATTTCCCAGTTATGCAAGCTCTCCTTTGAACCGTGCCCTATTTAAATGAATATGTTGAATGAAGTCAACATATATATTTTTTTTCTCCCAACAGGTGAGAGCTATAAATTTTTGCCCTGCTGACACCCGAGGATCCTTAATTGTGGGCATCATAAGGAATAAACAAAACCTGAATGGCTTGTTCTGCTTCACTAAATTTGCTGCTTTAATCTTTATGCCAAACTATGCAAACCAACCCAAAAAAAAGAGGGGGGGTCATGTAAAAACCATGTAAGATAGACTTTCCCAAACTTGGCAACTTTTGAGATGGGTGGACTTGAATTCCCAGAATCAACCCCCCCCCCCAAAAAAAAACAACTCGGCATGCCACCTGGGGAATTCTGCGCGTTGAGGAAGTTGAGAAATAAGGCCATCATTGGACATGGCAGTACCTGGGTACAGCAGAATAGAAAAGAAAGAATAGAAAATAGAGTGACTTGTGGCAAAAGAAAGCAAAGATAATACCAATAGTTCTAGGTGCAGTGGGTGTAATCTTAAAAATTAATTTTATGATGTTTGTGTATATTTTTTCTTGACTGTACACCACCTTGAGTCTTACGGGAGAAAGGCGGTATAGAAATATAATAAATAAATAAATAAATAAATAAATAAATAAATAAATAAATCTGGAGCACTACTTGCAACACCATCGGTCCATTGCAAAACGAGGCTTTACTTGGAACAACTTGTATTCTGCAGTGATACCTTTCACACCATCAAACATTCACCTCTTGCCTATCCCAGGTCTTTGGGAAGGACTCAACAGGTGGATAAAAATGCCAAATCCAGACTAAATGCCTTGTTGACTTCAATGCAGAATCAGAATAGAGCTGGAAGGGACCTTGGAGGTCTTCTAGTCCAGCCCACTGCTCAAGCAGGAGATCCTACACACACACACACACACACATATGAGAGAGGATCTCCTTGGGCAGAGGGCTGCACTAGAAGACCTCCAAGCAGGGGTGAAATCCAGCAGGATCTGACAGGTTCTGGAGAACCGGTAGCGGAAATTTTGAGTAGTTCGGAGAACCGGCAGATACCACCTCTGGCTGGTCCCAGAGTGGGGAGGGAATGGGGATTTTGCAATATCCTTCCCCCCCAGGAGTGGGGAGGGAATGGAGATTTTGCAGTAACCTTCCCCTAGAGTGAGGAGGGAATGAAGATTTTGTAATATCCTTCCCCCAGGAGTGGGAAGGGAATGGAGATTTTGCAATATCCTTCCCCTGGAGTGGGGAGGGAATGGAGATTTTGCAATATCCTTCTCCCAGGAGTGCGGAGGGAATGGAGATTTTGCAATAACCTTCCCCCCAGGAGTGCGGAGGGAATGAGGATTTTGTAGTATCCTTCCCCTGGAGTGGGGAGGGAATGGAGATTTGCCGTATTCTTCCCCCAGGAGTGGGGTGGGAATGGAGATGTGGCAATATCCTTCCCCCAGGAGTGGGGAGGGAATGAGGATTTTGTAGTATCCTTTCCCTGGAGAGGGGAGGGAATGGAGATTTTGCAATATCTTTCCCCCAGGAGTGGGGAGGGAGTGGAGATTTTGCAGTATCCTTCCCCTGCCAGCCCACCAAGCCACACCACACCCACAGAACCGGTAGTAAAAAAACTTTAGATTTCACCACTGCCTCCAAGGTCTCTTCATATATATATATTAAAGCTCTCCAGATGGAGTGATCCCCAAGTATTCTGAGACTTTTCAGGGTGAAAACAATATGAAAACTAGCTTCAGCCTCAGCAACTTTAAAGGTATATGGACTTCAACTCCCAGATTACCGGCTGGGGAATTCTGGGAATTGAAGCCCACCCATCTTAAAAGTTATCAAGTTTGGAAAAGTGATCTAAAGGGCATCTCAATATTTGTGGCTATAGCAACCCCTTGCAAAAATCTGGAAATCCCACTGCAATTCTTTTTTTTTTTAAAGCAACACACTGGGCATTTGCAAGGATTTTAGACCGCCCTAGAGGAGCCATAAAAGTGCAAAAAAATATAATGCATACAATAAATTCCGATTCCTCGAACAACAGGATCCTCCCCAAAAAAGGCAAGGCAAATCAATGATTTTTATCTGCAAGGGGATTTTGGATCTTTTTTTTCCTTCCCCCTCTGGCTGTTCAAAATAGTTCACTCCCTCTCGTTGCCACCAATCGCGGTGGGCGAGTCCAATTCACAAAAATAGGGGGGAGGGGGCGGAACCTGAAGATGCCAGCCAAACCCTTGGGATCTCTCTCGCGCGGGAAGTCCGCCCCTTCCTCGAGCCAGCCCTAATCCAGGACCGAGATACGTGACGTCACTTCCGTTCTTGACGCCGCGGCCCGCTATAAGGGTTCGGAACCTACCCGGAGAGAGATTGAGGCTCAGAGAGAGAGAGAACGGAAGTTCTGGTTACCCTTGGCAACAAGACATCCGGGCCCTTCCTCCTCGGAGTGGAGCGATTACTTCCGGTCTGGCTGGTCACCTAGGCAACGGGCCCACTTGGTGGAGGCTTGTAGGAGCCGAGGCGCCATGGCGGAGGTGACAGCTCGGCCGGTGAGCGGGATTCTCCGTTCTCGCCTGTTGCGCCTCTTTTCCCCTTCTGAGGGCCGAGGGAGGGCCCTGGAGGGACGGGACGCTTTTGCCGGGGGATTCCAGGGCCTAATTGCGCCTCGCCCTTCCTCCCACCGTCTTCCTGGGCTGCCTCACCCACCAGGCCCTGCCCTGCCCTGCCCTGCCCTGCCGGGGTCGGGGTGGTTCTAGGTCGGTGGGAACCCAGCTAACTATGGTTTCTTAGTTACAGACCATGGCTTAGCGTTTTGTGCCAAGTCAGCCCATTGTGGCTTGTCCAGCAGACTGTAACTATGGGGTGCAAGACCTGGGGGGGGGGGAAATTTATGGGGTCCCAGGCTAGGCAGATTAGGGTTTATATGGGGTGCAAGACCTGGTGGGGGGGCAGTCTATGGGGTCCCAGGCTTGGCAGACAAAGGTTTATATGGGGTGCAAGACCTGGGGGGGGACAGTTTAAGGAGTCCCAGGCTTGGCAGATAAGGGTTTATATGGGGTGCAAGACCTGGGGGGGAGTTTATGGGGTCCCAGGTTTAGCAGATTAGGGTTTATATGGGGTGCAAGACCTGGGGGGGGAGTTTATGGGGTCCCAGGTTTAGCAGATTAGGGTTTATATGGGGTTCAAGACCTGGGGGGAGTTTATGGGGTCCCAGGCTTGGCAGATTAGGGTTTATATGGGGTGCAAGACCTGGGGGGGCATTATATGGGGTCCCTTGATTCCTGTGAGGGTCTGCCTCCCTTCTCTTTTTCCTTGTCATCCCTTTTCAACACCTGCAAAGACATGCTTCATCTTTGCTTGGTTCCCCCTGCCAAGCCCCTATATTTTTAAAAAAGTAGCCTTCTCCATCTTATATTTTATTCCATTTGTACGCTACCCAATTCCCAATCATTCTGAGCTCCGGGCAACTTGGAACCCACTCTTAAAGAGAGCCTACCCTCTTTTTTGGTGGCAGTACAGCTATGAAAGGGGAAATATTGACGTGAAGAGATTGGCATGCTTAAGAGCCAGTTTGGTGTAGTGGTGAAAGGACTGGCCCAGAAACCAAGGAAACTTGTGATTTGTTACCTAAAATATTGCCAACGTTAGTCATCTTGAATTCTCCATAAAAAAAGGTGGGGTGAAAATATAATGATGACCACACAATGGTTTGGTTGCTAGAACTGTAACCAGCTGGAAGCTCTCCACCTGGACAAATTCCCTCCCTTGAAGACCTTTCTATCTAAAAGTTAGTTCTCAGCTGACTGTTCAAAGTTACAACATCACTGAAAAAAGTGACTTATGACCCTTTTTCACACTTAACGACAATTGCAGCATCCCCACAGACATGTGATCAAAATTCAGATGCTTGGCAGCTGAGTTATATTCAGGACAGTTGTGTTAGGTTCAGTTACGAAATGTAGTAACTGTGAAAAGTGCCTTCATAACAAAGGTGGACTTTGGGGCAGACACCTGAAAAGAAGCGTGAACCCTTAGTGTCTTTAAAAAGAATTTTTAAATATTTTTGAGGTTTCCTGAAGCCCACTGGCCATCTGATTTTGGTAACTCACTGAAGAACTATGGTAGCTTAGATTGGAATGCTATATTGGTTTTCCACATCTGAGATCTTTTGCTAGTTTGGCCGAACATTTTTTTTTTAAAAAAAGAGCCACAGCGCCTAAGCTTGTAATCTTGAAAGGCAGTGTGTAAAAATAAAAAAGATGGAAAGAGGAGAAAATAAGTGTCTCATGCTCTGGTGTTTTATCAAGCAGAATATATGTTCAAGTGCTGGTTTTTAAATTTCATTTAGAATAAATTTCATCTTTAGATCTACTTGATTTCAAGTAGATCTGTGTGACCAGGTTTTTGTTGCAGTGTTCTGACTTTTGGTTTTTTGACAGCTAATATATAGTAATCTTTATTTGGTGGAGGAGTGTTTGTTTATGATCAAACCTACATATAAATTAGTATCCGGTGGTATCCTAAAAACCAAGCCTTCTGTTTAGGGAAAGGCCAAGCTCTCCTCACTTTTCCTGGAAGGAACTCAACAATACTGAACAATCAATAAAAAGAGACCATGTTTGCAGTGAAGTCTAGAGATTAAGAAGATGATATAAAATAAAAAAGCACAGAGTGGGGCATGAGAAGAAAAAGTAGAGACCTCAAATACCATTTCTAGCTATTACATAAATTTCAGTTTTCCTCACTATCTGATAGAATAGAATATAATTCTTTATTGGCCAAGTGTGATTGGACACACAAGGAATTTGTCTTGGGGCATATGCTCTCAGTGTACATAAAAGAAAAGATACATTTGTCAAGAATCATAAGGTACAACACTTAATGATAGTCATAAACAGTCAATATAAATCGTAAGGATACCAGCAACAAGGTTACAGTCATGCAGTCATAAGTGGGAGGAGATGGGTGATGGGAACGATGAGAAGATTAATATTAGTGCAGACTTAGTGAATAGTTTGACAGTGTTGACGGAATTATTTGTTTAGCAGAGTGATGGCGTTTGGGAAAAAACTGTTCTTGCGTCTAGTTGTTCTGGTGTGCAGTGCTCTAATGTAATGTAATGGTTGCTGGATAATCACCAAAAAATGGTTTTAAAACCATTCCTATTGCTTTCCTATTGTAATACCCAGATGGGTGATGATAATCTTTTTATTGTTTCTCTGTGCTCAGTACTGTACTGTAAATTTTTTTAAAAAAAATCTTCCTTCCCTCCCTTTCCTGGTGGCATTTCAAAAATTATAATATTGTAGTCCATTCTACAATTTCAGAAGTTTTACATTTTACCTTGCTGTGAATAAAAATCAGGCCTTAGTAGAGACAAGATCACACAAAAAAATTCATCTGTACCTTTGCAGATTTTAAATTATTGCTCTCTGTTTATGGCAACCTGGTTTAATAAGGAATTTGTTAAAATATTTTTTTCCCGGTATTTCTCTTCAAAAGACATGACTCATGGATGTGCCTTTTTTTCTTCTGATGGTCACAGTTGGAGAGTGTACTTAGAATCTCGTTTCTTTATGAACACATTCCAGGATTTTTAATAGTTCTTTTAATAAAAGCTCCAGCACAGCATGCTGTCTTTGGCAAAAGAATTACAATGTAGGAGCCAACTGATTGTCTATTCTGCTTGACTATATTTGGTGCTACAATAGGAAAGTTTGATATTTTAATTGGAGTAAAATTTTTAGACTGGATTTTTCACTGGAGCACCATTCTCATCCAGCACAGTTAATTCTGCATCTCAAGGTATTATGGAAAAAGCTTCAAATTGGTTTTCAAAAAAAATCTCTCTGTTCATTTGTTCTGTATTACCTTAGAGGGCTGTTTTAAGTCAGAAGAGCTTAACAGCTATGATTCTAAAAATCTTGAAATTTAAATGTAAAAATTCCTCTCTGAGTACTGAAACACATGGGCTATAAGAAATCAAAGCAACAGTTTACCTAAACAAAGCTTATTTTTGTTTCTAAGGTTCGTACCTTAGGTACGAACCCTTTTGCCTGGATTCTAAGATGTTTTGAAAATCTGTATCTGTCTGTCTGTCTGTCTGCTTTATTTCTTTATCAGTAAAATATATTTGATTATATATATATATATATATATATATATATATATATATATATATATATATATATTAATTATATATATATATATATATATATATTCTATATACCCGGGCGATGGTGTCTATATTGTTGGAGATGGGGGTAGAGAGTGGGGCTTATTTATCAGAACTTTGGGGCTAAGGCTAAACCAATCGAATTGAAAAGGAAAACAAGACTTTCTTACTTGCTTTGTCCTCTTGGGTTAGTGATGTCACTGCCTGTGATTAATGCCACCATTTCTTCCCGAAATGGCCATGTTTCAACTGAATGCTGAGCCTACAAAGGAAGACTCTGCTCACCAAGAGATTAGCGACTTTTTTTATGTTTTGCTTTGAACCTAATCAGCAGTTCTGCCCCTTCTTATCCCTGGTGTATCTTCAGCCTTCGGAGGAGAACAGAGCTGGTTTAAAAAAGCAATATGTGCTTGCTAAAAAGAAATGCAGCTCAGCACCTTAAGCTGTTCTCGAGATGGGCGTGTATGCGTTCCCAGTTTCCAAAAGGGTAGCTGAATTAGGTTGTTGCAGTAAAAACAAGGAAGCATCTGAAGGCACCTTAATGTCTAATGATTATATTGTGCCATGATATATCCAAGATGTTTATCCTGAGTGATAGGAAGGGGGAGAATTGTAACTAATGAAGTCAGAGGGAATGAAATGCAGGAAATATTGGCTGTGACAATTACCTTATTAATACTTAGGTAATCATCACTCCCTGTGTTCTCTGCATTTCATTTATCTGATCTCATTTGTTTTCCCCTCGATGATTGTTTATAGATACCTAGAATGACTATTTATACATTTAATTACATAGGTGGCAGTTGATTTAACTGCTCTACATTGGTTGTGTGTGTATTTGTGAATGTGTGTGTGTGCGCGCACACACACATACACACACGTTCGAATCCGAGTAAGAGTATGGCTAACTGATGAGAGCTAAATAGCTTGAAATAGATCTATACCAGTCTCCCTTTATTTCTTTATCAGCGAAATATAAATTTGAGATACATACATACATATAAATATAAATATAAATATAAATATATATTGACCTTTTACTCGCTATTTATATGTACACTGTGAGCTTATGTGCCGGAGACAAATTCCTTGTGTGTCCAATCACATTTGGCCAATAAAGAATTCTGTTCTATTCTGTTTTATTTGGTTCTATTCTATATGCATACACACAAACACAGACAGACAGATACTAAAGAAAGCATGACTTCTGCTGTCCACAATGAAAAAAAAAATTTTTTTCCTGGATTTTTTTCATGCCCTTGCTGTTGGTAGCCACCAGGCAAGAAAGAACAATATTTCACATTTGAAAATTCTGCACCTCATAATCTTCAGATTTAATAATAACAGAGGGAAGATAGCAAGTGGAAGGGAAGGGAATTAATTTGTTAACTGTTATATTGCTAATGATAGCTAATCAGCTAATACCCAGCTGATTATCAGCAATTTTGTTAATAGAGCACATTTCAGTATGTTCTCTTACAGCATTTCTAACACCCATTCTACAGAATGGGCAAGCTGCAGGAAAGAGCACCCACAATTACTGAGCTTGTGGGTTTGTTTATCTTCCCTCTAAGAAAATAGTTGTGTTTGGAAGGGAACTTATTTTGGAAAAGGAAACATAAAGTGATAAGATGGCAAAGTTGGATACAATTTGTGGCATAATTCAGTTACTGTAGTTCAAAGGGTTGGATACAATTTGTGGCATAATTCAGTTACTGTCGTTCAAAGAGTTTCCATCTCCCTGAATTTGAACAAAATTCCAATATGTGGAAGATTTAGAAGAGGCAAAATAAAATAGTTTCATATAGAATGCCATTTGTGTTTGGAATTCGCAGGAGCAAAAGAGGTTCTTCGATTAAATAACTTTTAAAAGATATTAGTTAAATTGGACCTTTGTGTCCAGAGGCAGCACGACAATACATTTTGAATTCTCAGTTCTAACAACAACAAAACAAAAACAAAAACAAAAAAAAAAATAGGCATGAGAATGGGCTGTTGGCTTTACTCCTCTTGGTTATTTCCTATAGTGGTGTGTATTTTCTGGTCTAAAGCTTGGAACTCATGGAGGGCAAATAAGGTGATTCCTTTAAACTTTTTAATTCTGACATTTGTTACTTGTTTTTAATATTATTTCAGACTGCATCCCTACCAGCAGCAACTGAACTTCCCAGAGCCAGGTCAGGAAGAGGTTTGTTCTGATTTTATATCTCTATAGTTATTTTAGCAATTTTTAAACTACTGTCTCTAATGCATTCTGTGCAGAAAACATTTCAGTTTAATAAACTTCGATTAATAGCCCCAAAATGGTTATTTAGGGGACAAACTGATTCTAGTTTGTCAGTATACAATATACATATACAAACTACAGTATATGTGGTACCTCGCTCAAGAGTAGTAACTGTGAGAGGGGTCTTGGAGTCCTAGTGGACAACCGTTTAAATATGAGCCGGCCATGTGCAGCAGCTGCCAAAAAAGCCAACATAGTTCTAGGCTGCATAAACAGAAGGATAGAATCAAGACCGCATGAAGTGTTAATATCACTTTATAATGCCTTGGTAAGGCCACATTTGGAATACTGCAACCAGTTTTGGTCGCCACGATGTAAAAAAGATGTTGAGACTCTAGAAAGAGTGCAGAGAAGAGCAACAAAGAGGATTAGGGGACTGGAGGCTAAAACGTATGAAGAACGGTTGCAGGAACTGGGTATGTCTAGTTTAATGAAAAGAAGGACTAGTGGAGACATGATAGCAGTCTTCCAATATCTCAGGGGCTGCCCCAAAGAAGAGGGAGTCAAGATATTCTCCAAAGCACCTGAGGGCAGGACAAGAAGCAACGGGTGGGAACTAACCAAAGAGAGAAGCAATTTAGAACTAAGGAGGAATTTCCTGACAGTGAGAACAATTAATTAGTGGAAGAACTTGCCTGCAGAAGTTGTGAATGCTCCAACACTGGAAGTTTTTAAGAAGGTGTTGGATAACCATTTGTCTGAAGTGGTGTAGGATTTCCTGCCTGAGCAGGGGGTTGGACTAGAAGACCTCCAAGGTCCCTTCCAACTCTGTTAATCTATTCTATTCTAGTTATTCACTGATACTAAACTACATACGCCTTAGCTCCCATAGAATGGCCAACTGTGCTTTCCTTAAACAAGGATGCTCATATCATTTCCTAGAAAAGACCTGGGTGGTTGAAGATGATTGTGGCACCCTCTTTGATTGTCTTCCTAGTTTTCGGGCTTTAGATGACCTAGATCTCAAGACCAAGGAGCTAGCGGGTTGGTCATTTAATCTCAGAATACCCAGCCATATGATCCTGAACTATTTAACTCTTCGTTTTGTGGAGGCTTCAATTAATAAGTGGTATTATTGCCAGTATAAGGGATGCAGTGGCTCAGTGGCTAAGACACTGAGCTTGTTGATCGAAAGGCCGGCAGTTCAGCGGTTCGAATCCCTACTGCCGCGTAACGGGGTGAGCCCCCGTTACTTTTCCCAGCTTCTGCCAACCTAGCAGTTCGAAAGCACGTAAAAAATGCAAGTAGAAAAATAGGGACCACCTTTGGTGGGAAAGTAACAGCATTCCGTGCGCCTTTGGCGTTGAGTCATGCCAGCCACATGACCACAGAGATGTCTTCGGATAGCGCTCGCTTTTCGGCTTTGAAACAGATGAGCACCGCCCCCTAGAGTCGGGAACGACTAGCACATATGTGCAAGGGGAACCTTTACCTTTACCTTTACCTATTGCCAGTATACTTCTATAGCCATTTATCTACTGAAGCCCATAACTCCTTTAAAGGTCTTGCATTACTCACAACGGTGATGTTACCTAATTGCCCTTCCAGTATATTAAAGATTAATTTGAAGAATTTAATAAGTAACCCGATGAGATGGGTTTATCGGGTGATAGGATGCAACAGGGCCTGTTTTATCCCTTCATAATGTACGGTCTCACATCGGACGAGGTGGCAGTCTCGGTTTTATTTCGACGCTCAAAAGCCTGCTTTGTGTGCTGTTTCCAAACGGGCGAAGGAGAACAGAGAAAAGCTCTCTTTCTGGAATTTATGAGTAATGCAAAGGCAGTTTGAGTATTAAGAATAAACTTCCTTCCTTTGAAATAATTCAAACCAGATGTTGTAGGGGGAAAAAAGAGGGGGGGGGGAATCCTGCTGTTATAACATTTTGCAGCTTAGCAGCAGCAAGAGCCAATAGCTGTGGCTGAAATAGTTCATTGGAAACTGTAGTTGTTGGAAGTAAGCTTGGGAAATGTACTAATCCACTCTGTCTTCTGGGCATTTGTGGCCTAGAATTTAACTGGAACCAAGTTCTGTAAAGGTTCGGATCACGCGGAGTCTATTTTTCCTTGCTTTAAGCCATCCCGTACTTCGACCGCCATAGTCAGCCAGTTTCCAACAGAATAGGAGTTGGAGTCGAAGTCGGAATAGAATAGAATAGAATATAATAGAATAGAATAGAATAGAATAGAATAGAATAGAATAGAATAGAATAGAATAGAATAACAGAATTGGAAGGGACCTTGGAGGTCTTCTAGTCCAACCCCCTGCCCAGGCAGGAAATCGTACACCATTTCAGACAGATGGTTATCCAACATCATCTTAAAAACTTCCAGTGTTGGAGCATTTACAACTTCTGGAGGCAAGTCATCCCACTGATTAATTTCTCCTTAGTTCTAAGTTGCTTCTCTCCCTGATGAGTTTCCACCCATTGTTTCTTGTCCTACCTTCAGGTGCTTTGGAGAATAGCTTGACCCCCTCTTCTTTGGGGCAGCCTCTCAGATATTGGAACACTGCTATCATGTCTCCCCTACTCCTTCTTTTCATAAGACTAGGCATATCCAGTTCCTGCAACCGTTCTTCATATGTTTTAGCCTCCAGTCCCTTAATCCTCTTTGTTGCTTTTTTACTTCGTGGCGACTAAGGCAATGGAGGAAGCTGATTAAAACGTTCCTTCTTTTCCTTGCTGGATATTTTGCAGTGGAGAGAAAAGATGAATGTAACAGAGCAGTCGGAGAACACAGGATAACGCAATTAGACCAGTGGTGAAATCTAAAATTTGTTACTACCGGTTCTGTGGGCGTGGCTTGGTGGTGGTGGGGTTAATGTGACTGGGTGGGTGTGGCCAATTTTTTTTTTAAACTTTTAAAACCATTTCTTCTAAAACCGAAGAAGAGGTTGTAAAAAAATGCTTTCAAAAGGGTCTGATGATCCCAGCTGAGTTGCCTGATCAGCAGAGGCTTTTTTTTTTTTACTCTTAAAAGCATTTTTTCGGCCGAAGAGGTTGTAGAAAAAATGCTTTTAAAAGTAAAAAAAAAAGCCTCTTCTGATTGAGCAGCTCAGCTGGGCATGGGGGGGGGCGTTGGCAGGGATTTTTGCTACCGGTTCTCCGAACCACCTGCCTCCATCGCTACCGGATCGGGCGATCTGGTCCGAACCGGGAGCATTTCACCCCTGAATTAGATGGTGACATTACCCATAAAAGTCTGTGAACGGTTTCAGAGCCGACGAAAGAATCAGCAGGAAGGAGCCTATGTTTTTCAGGCAGATTCATCACAGGCTTTTTAACTGTACACCGAAGCAGAAGACTAAATGGAATGACTCGTTTGAATTTTTCCTCACTGAAAGCAATTGCGGAACAGCTGAGTGGAGTAAATCTTTTCTGATGGAATAAAGGTTGAGGTAGATTGAATTTCCCGCTGGGTGAACGCAGAGAGCCCAGTTGATAAAATTATTCATGAGAATGCCATTTTCTGTTGCTGCATTTTATTTTTATTTTATTATTGTTATTATTATTATTTTTGGTCATACGTTTCCAGAGCTGCATTTCGTAGCATCTCAAACATCCAACGTGTAGCAGCAACCCCGAGAGATTCGAAGCATGCCAGCTACGACTTCAAAAGGGCCAACGGTGATAGGGGATTTTAACGGCTGCTGCTTTCGTCTGCGAGATTGTAGCACCACAAAAAGTTTTCTGTTTTAAAAAAAACCCCTCCGGGCCTTTTTGAAGCGTGGAAGGGTAGAGCTTGCCTGTTTTATAACTCTATTCCAGTGGAAAGATTAAGACAGTGGCAGATTTCCGTGGAAAACAAAATACTGTATGCTTCATGGGCTGGATTGTATACTTGGAGGCTTATGTTGCCACACAAGCCTTATGAAAGCTGATTAACTTTGGGAGGCTTTGTAAGAATAACCGTTGTGTAAGATAAGCACTGCCGTTTATATGATTTATCTATTTTCTTACCCTTTTTTCCAACATCGTTCCAGATACCAAGTTATAAATTTGTTTTAATATTACCGGAACACTCAGACCTAAAGAAGAAGGAAATAAATGTATAATCCTACATGAAAATCCTGTTCATCTTTTTTTTTTTTTTCTTTCCCCCGATTTGTTTTGAAACTGTTTAAATGATTTGTATGCTCCGTGTTCTGCCGGAATAAAATGGCTTTAGGTATCGCCCTAAGCAACCATCGCTTTTACGGGCTTAATGGGTTGTGTGAACTGAGCCCCTGTCAGACGTGAAGTGATTCATCTGGCAAATGGGGTAGATAGCAGGGGTGGATTCTAAATTTTTTTACTACTCTGTGGGCGTGGCTTATTTTGTGGGCGTGTTTTGATGGTCATGTGACAATTCTTTGGGATTTAGCAGAGGTATTAGTCTACCAGGCTTTTAACTGCTTGCAGAGCCGTACCGGTCTAGCCATTTGTTTTTCGAGCGCATTGGTCTACCACCACACTGCCTTTTAACACTGATCAGCTGTAGGGCGGCCCTTTGAAGCTCTGCGGCAAGAGTTTTTTTCCTTCTAGCCGATCAGCTGGGACTCGGGAGGCAGTGAATAGATTGGGGGCGGGGCCAAATAAAAGGTAAGAATAACGTGGGGGGCGGGACGGGAGGGCCCAGCTCCCGAACAAAGAGAACCGGTTCGGTGATGTCAATATCGTCACCGCTACCGGCTCGGCCGAACCGGGCCGAACCCACCACTGAGGTAGCTCAAACTGTAAGACCACTGCACAGTTCGGTTTCAGCCAATGGTGGGTCTTTCTAAATAATTTCGATACTTGCAGATCCTGCTGTTGGTATAACTGCAGATAGCCAGTCCTCGGCTTACGACACGACTCGGACCAGAATTTGCGTTGCTAAGCAAGGCAGCTGTTAAGTGAATCGCATCTGATTTTACAGCTT